AAAAAAAAAAAAAAAAAAAAAAACCTATACAGGCTACAATGATCTAGGTGACACTGCATCTTGAGCTGAAAAATGCGACATATTCGACTGTTTCTTATTCAGTTTCGACCTTAGATGCCTGATCTTTGCGTCCACTCTAGCTGTGAACCCAATCTTAGTCTTCTCTCTCGCTTTTGTACCCTCTCTCGTCCACAACCTCGCGTCCTCCACATCTCTTTTGTAGTACTTGATCTCTTGTATGATATGATGATCCATCGGATGCAAGAATCTCTGGTAAGCTATGTGAGTAACGTAAGGAAGAACTGTAGCTACCGTGACCAACAATGTAGCCATCCAGTAGATAGGTGCAGGAGCAAGAACCTCATCAAGAATCCTGTAAACGTTTCCAGAGAGGCTAGGAGAGGTCATCCCGTAGAGTGCTACAAAGAGATACCACAAACCAATGCTTCCCCATATCAAAACGTGTTGGATCCAAGTGAAATGGGACATGGTTAATGCGATTTGAACATTGACTGCCCAGATTATGCAAGTGAACATGGTTGTGCCGACAGCGTCCATGTCAGCTGTTTGGCCACCTTCTCTGAAGGCTTGGGAGTAGATGATTCCTATGTTGAGGAAGAATATGACGAGCGATGAGTAGACGCCGTTGCACATCCATCCGAGGATTCTTGACCAATCAAAGAAGAGGTTCTTTGTGCCTTGTTGGTATAAAGCAGGGAACTACACAAAGCACAAGCAAGAAAATAATGAGCAGAGATTCTTACTTCTTGAAGGATGATTATTAAAGCTTACTTGTAAGCAGATCTCGGAGGAAACATCTTGTTCAAAGACTCCAAGGGCAATCACTGGCAATGAGGTAAGGACAACATTGAAGAGCAATAAGTAGTAGTCGTTGTACACTGATTGTCCGGAAAATCCAGTGAAAGCTTCAAAGTAGAAGAGAGTGAGACCAAATGCTATGTTCTTGTAGAAGAAATAGCAAATCTGGATGAAAAAAGACAGCTTAACGTAAGAAACAAAACTACAAGTAAAAAGTAATGAAAACGCCAACAAGAACAAGTTATTACCATTTGAGCTATTCTTTTGTAGCACCAGTGTCCATGGACGACGAGTAATCTTTCCAAGAACCGAAACTGCGCAATGGAGAAATCACTAGCCATAACAGCCTGCATGCCTTCAACGCCACTAATCCCTACACCAATGTCAGCTTCTTGAATCATCCCAACATCATTTGCACCATCACCAATTGCCAATGTGGTTTTTCCGGTTCCTTCTTTAACCAGCCTTGTAACCAAAGCCTTTTGCTTGGGAGATACACGACAGCAAATGACTGATGCACAATCAACTGCCAAAGCCAAGAACTGATACTTCATATCATCCTCCAATGCATAAGTTAATGTTTTCCCATCAATGATCAGAGCAAACGCAGCATGTGGATCCTTCTCTAGCTTCACCATTTGTACAGCTTTAGTGAGTTGATTCAAAATGTTCTCTTTCACCGCCTGACACATAATCATTAGATACAAAGTTAGCTTCACAATGAATGTTGTAGCAGTTGGTATCATCAATTAACCATACCCTTTTCGAATCTTGGGATCCTCCATCTGGATTTATTGATGTTATGCAGATCTGTTTCATGCCTTGCCTAAGTAAACTACAAGCAAATCTGCAGTTTCATAAAAGGTAAATTTGTTCATAAAACATCTCTAGATAAAAGCACATATTCAAGTTCAAAACCAGAGATTATATTCTAACCCAATGTTGATTGCTGTTTCCATTTTGTCCCCAGTTAAAACCCATAGCTTGAGACCTGCTTGAGCAAGTTTATCTATGCATTGAGGAACCTATAAGTCAAACAAAAAAAAAACATTAGTTCACATAAGCAAGATAAAGATATGTTTTAAGTGTCTCTGTTTGATAATACATACCCCTTTCTGAAGTTTGTCCTCCACAGCAGTAGCACCTACAAGGATAAGATCTTTTTCAATCATATCCGATCCTGCCTCAAGCAGCTCATCTCTATCAGATCCTATTGAAGTTTTGGCCTTAAGAAACTCAGTGTTCCACGCTGTATATTCCTCCTCATCAAGCTTTCTGTAAGCAAGTGCAAGTGTACGAAGCCCAGCTTCTCCATACTCAGTTAAGTGTCTAGTGGTAGGTCCCAAGTATGTCTTCCCATTCTTCGCCAACCGGTCAAAGATAATGCTGCAAAACAAAAAAAGATAAAACTTGTTAACAGTGAAGGGACAAGAACAGAATGTATGTTTAGTTTTGGATGCTAACCTGTCTGCTCCTTTGCATAGTAGAAGAATCTGTCCTTCTTCATCCCTTACAATCACTGACATTCTCTTTCTTTTACTTGTGAATTCCAACAGATTCAGAACTTTATACTCCCTGCATTGTTTTTAGTGCTTAGTGCAAAGATTAGAGCCTAAAAATGATAGTCAAAAGGTTTAGAGTTGAAACCTCTCAATGATCTGCCCTGAAGAAGAGAATCTCTCACGGATGAACACACTTGACTGAGTTCTCTTGCAGAACTCAAAACCAAACTCTCTAGCAGCAGCAAGAAAAGAAGCTTCATCAGGTGACTCTGCTTCATAAGTGTACTTGCCAGTCTCCTCGTTCAACTCCGGAATAGCTGTGTGACAAATGGCTAATATGCGGAAGAACTGCAAGATGTCATTAGGTTGTGACTCCCTTAACCAGTTCCCATTCATGAGCCTGTTATCCTCAAAACCAAACCCTTTAATAGGAACTCTAGGATTGTTATTATAGTTACCATCTCCTCCACTTTCCACCTCAATCTCATGCGTCGTGCGGCTACTGTCCCATGTACCATACACTTTAGTCTGAGACTGAGGAGTAGTACTTGGTATCTCTCCATGCTCTTCAAGATCAACAGCCATCTGCTTAGCAGCAGCTACCTCCACTTCGCTGGAACGCACACCATAAGAAGTACCAGCAATGGAACATTTCAAGAAATCCATCTGGTTACATGTCAAAGTCCCTGTCTTGTCAGAAAGGATAGTATGAACCTGACCAAGCTCTTCGTTGAGATTAGATGTCCGGGCCAGTGCAGGAACCCCACTCTCATCATCATACATCCGCAAGTCTTGATTAATAAAACTTGCTTGCCAGACTTTGACAACCTCTATGGAGACATAAAGAGAGATTGGTATCAAATATCCATAAAGCAACAGAGCAGTGATGAGATGGACCACACCAGCATAGACCGGACTTATAGGGTTTGTTAGATCCTCAGGCGCATCAGGTCGCAAGTACCACATATTAGGCATGTGGAACTCTGTCTCCCAAGCAAAACCTGATGAGCTGATGCAAGAGATCAAGATGAGTAAGACAAGAAGTGTGTAGATGATGTAATCCATTGTCCTCTCAATTCTGCTTCTCTTGGAAGGTGACTTTGTTGAGTTCTGCATCACTTTAGTATCATGACCTGTAAAGACAACAACTCCGTATACATAAGCTGTGTTCCTAAGCTTTGAGTCTCTTAACAGAATCTGATTTGGATCCAGAGGAAACGTTTGGCGTTGATACTCTAAGTTTCCAACGAAGGTGTAGAGACTTGGGTTCGGATCTTCACATCTTATAGTCCCCATGAAGTTTTTAAAAGACTCATCATCATCCAATGTCAATGAAGCTTCCAAAGACCTCTTCACTTTCAAATTCGTTTCACCATCCAAGTTCATAGTCTCAACGTAACAAATCCCATCCTCGTAACTACTCGACAGAAGAAGCAAATCAGCAGGGAAGAACTCATCCTTCTCCACTTTCACAACATCTCCAACTCTAACCTTCTTCCACTTCCTCTGACGAAACACACCATCACTCCTATGAACACACGTCTTCCTAGCGTTAATCTTCACGTCTTGCATAAACCTACGCCAATCTTCCAAAGCCTCTTTCATCATACTCAGCCCAACAACGAACACCAAGGGAGCAATCATGCTCCATTTGTTGAACGGAGAGAGAGGAAACACCGAGAGGATAGCAGCTACAAGGAAGTAGAGATTCGCAGCGCGGTGGAACTGTTCGTAAAGGGACTTGGGGAAGAATGTTATGAGGTTGTACCTAGTTGTAGAGACGTAGTTAGAACGGTATCTCAGAGGCTTCTTCTTGTGCATGTGAGGTTGGTTACAGAACACTGTCCTGCTAAAGCCTGGACCGTGGAGTGGGTGTGGAGAGTCTTCACCTTCAAGTGTATTGGGTCTAAGACATCCAAATGTATAGAGATTGCTTAGTCTCAGCTTTGATCTTATCCTACCTCGAGCCATCTTTGATGATCTTTACTTCCCTCAAGAATCAGAGATTAGTGCTTCATTGTTTTTTGAATCAAACCTGTAACAAGAAAGATGAATATATAAACCGATTATATAATTTGTTTCCAAAGTTTTGATCTTTTTGTGAAAGAAAACATAGTTTTGAGATTGAAACGACAGAGCTATAAGAAGTAGCTAGAATGTCGGAAGCTAGTCATTATATTTTTATAAAATTAAAACCTTTACTTTGATACGAATAACAAAAATCAAAATTGGTCAAACAGACTCGAATCCAAATGTGAAAAAACAATAAGTCTTTCTTGAATCGATGAAGTTTTTTTAATATCAAAGATGATGAATTTACCAAACACAGTGAAAGAAAAAAAACTTACCAAACACAAATTAAATTCAATCACATTTGCAGAAAAAGACTAACAAATTGAATCTTAAATTCAGATATATATAAACGATGAAATATGAGGTGATAAAGATCCTTAAACCCGATGACAAGTCAAGCATAATGGAAAACCAGAAGTAAACTAAAATAAACTAAAAAAAATTCAGACAGAGATTTGTCGGAGAAGTAGAGAATCAAAAAGACAAACCAGGAATCAACAACTAACATAAACCAATCTCAGGAAGAAGCTTGATTCTTCACGTTTTGTCGGCGGCAATGGTAGATCAAGCAAGAACACAAGGATTAAAAAAAAATGCAGCTTTTCTCTCTCTCCTCTGCTGTCTTTTTCTTTCTCTTGTTTTTTTTTTCAGGAGACTAGAAAAAGAAAGACAGAGATTTGTTTCTTATGTCTGAATTTTTACTCGTTTTTCGCTTTATTTGATAGACTGCAAAATCTGAAAACCAGTGCAGGTACTTTCGGGTCTGCTTCTTCTTCCTCTACGTCTCCAACTCTAATCTAATTAGCTTTCAATTTTACAACTATTTAAAAGAATTATTAAAATAGCCTTATTAGGGTCCGACTGGTTTCCCCGCTACCACCCGTAAACGCAGTTTTTGCGGTTGATGGCAGTTGCTAGCGTTTTGCAACAATCACAAAAACCGCTACAAATCGCTTCAAACCGCTTCCAATCTCTTAAAATCAAAAGCTGGTTTCAGCTAGCGTTTGCGTTTGCGGGCGATTGCGGGTGGGTAAAAAACTATTTTTTTATTTAAAATTAAAATATAAAAATAAAAATAATATAACTAAAACTATATCTACCTTTTATTTTTTAATTTAAATTCACTAAAAATATCATAATCTATTTATAAGAACTTTAAATCAAGAATTTATACTATATTTTTCAATATTAAATATAT